CTCCTTGAAGTTTTTAGGATATTTTCATCAATTCCAGAAGAACAGTTAGATGTTAAGCATGTGGCGAAAGAAAAATGCAACACGCAACTATATTTCTGTAATTGGCCTTGTAAGCTTGTAATTGGCCTTAATACATAAAATACAAATTTACAAATGTTTCACAAATATTTTTGGAGCACTGCCAACTCTCTCTCAAATCGATGTCGTATACCTTATGAAATCTGTTAAATCAAATAGTCTTAAAATATCTAAGTGTTCACCATCAGGTTGCAAATATTTAGGGATGAGAAAATTTGACATTTTGAAAATAAATATTTTAAAGCTAAAACTGTTCTAGATATTTTCAAGTCTTTTAAGCCTTAAAAAGTTGCATAAATGTTTCATGATATATTATCATATGTTTGTATTGGAATATATTTAGTCATAATTCGATCTCTAATTCTGAATCCATCAAAAATAGCGGAGAAGATTTTTTATACTTAAATATTAAAAACACGCATCCCAACAAGAAAGTGTAAAATAGCCAATACAAAAATCTACATTTAAAGACCGGCTATGTAAGGTAGTTGATCTGAGTATGCAGTGTTGTGGAAAAATTCTTTAGGATTCATTTGAGACAAATGAAACGTTTTAAAGATCTGTAAATCCTGAGTTTAAGCGCAAAGTCGACGTTCAAAATCTTACTTTTGGATGGATATGTTTTCAGAATTTTTTTTTTTAAATTACTAAATAACGAAGACAAAAGATGTAAGCAAATTTCTACAGTAAACTAATTAGTTGTTTAGGAACAGGTTAAAAAGATAAAATTTAATCTTATCATCGAAAATAAGTAATCTTGTTCAATTATTAGTTTTTATAATATCTCTTTTTATTCACAAAGAGTTTCTGCAGATTTTTAGGAATTTTTATTGAAAAGACGACATTTGAAGAATTTGTAGAAATCTGCGAATAAATTCATATAGAAAATAAGAAATTTAATATATAAAATTGAAATATAAAATTTAATAATTGATTCTAGCATCGATTTATTGACAAATTTCTTTTGTGAAATATGGTCCTAACAATCTAATTAGTTTACTGTATTATTTTTACTTTATTTTTCTGAAAATGTACCTACCCAAATTCATGATTCTGAACGTCGACTATGCACTCAAACTCAGTAATTATACATAGTGGAAACATTTTATTTGGCTTAAATGAATCCTAAAGAATTTGTCCATAACACTGCATACTCAATTTAACTACCTTACATAGGCGGTCTGTCCCTTAAGAGGTTAAAATTGGTTATAAAGATAAGACTCACTGGACTTTTAGCGCGGACCTCTAGTTTACCGTGGTGAGTATCCCCCCCCCCCTCCTCCTCCTTCAGTTCAAGTCTCATGCACGTCAAACTAAAGTAAGATTGAAATCTTTCATGTTTTTAATCAAAATTCCTTACATTGAATAGCTCTTGAGAAGAACAAAAATGTTCTGATTTTATAATATGTAATCAAAAATAGCTTTTTTTTACACTTGTGCGTTGAAACAGAACTAGAGGAGCAACTAAGTCCCAAAGTCGTTACAGTAATGTTCATTAAGTTTGACCTCCTCCTCCTACTGGTTAGTTTTCAGTGCTTAGATGAGCATCTCCAAGCTGACCGCCACTAAAGTCAGGGCTGATCATCAAAGACACCAATTTATGGTTTGATATTGCCTTACTACAAATTGTTAAATGTATGTAAAATTTGATATTAATAATGGTAAAATCTCTTGTCTAGTAAACATAATAATATAGGATTGGAAAAAGATTGGACATGTTCTCGCTCGTCAGCGCAGTAAAATTCAGAAAATAAATTTTAGAAAAAAACAATGTTGGCATAAAAAATAAATTTATTTTTAGGATAGAAAGATTTCAAAAGGTTTTTTTGTGAAAAATTTAAGGTATCCTCTTAATGAAATGGACTTTATCTGCGCTTACACCATCAGGTTACAAAGTTTTAGAGATCGAAAACTTAAAATTTTTTTCTAAACTAATCAAGAACTGAACTAAACAGATACTTTTCAGTATTTCTAAACCCATTTCAAATGAAAATAAAAAACCATTTGAATCAAAACTCTTATTTTAGTAAAAACTTAAAGTTGAGAAAAAAATAGATAAAATATTTGAAAATTTTCCATGTTCTCATTCCTCAGTTATATTTTACGAAGTGCTCTACATGAAGTTAAAGATTTAAACATGAAAATACCTCGAATGATTGAGTTTATTACCGAGTATTGACGATAAACTTTATATTTTATTCCGCATAAAACATGGACAAAATATAGAACAGACAAACCAGCAGGAATATTCAGCATGAACATGGAGAAAATATAGAATAGACAAACCAGCAAGAATATTCAGCATAAAACATGGATCAAATATAGAATAGACATAACAGCAGGAATATTCAGTATAAAACATGTAGAAAATATAGAATAGACAAACCATCAGGAATATTCAGTATAAAACATGGAAAAAATATAGAATAGACATAACAGCAGGAATATTCAGTATAAAACATAGAGAACATATAGAATAGACAAACCAGCGGGAATATTCAGTATAAAACATGGAAAAAATATTAAGTAAACAAACCGGCAGGAATATTTAGTATAAAACATGGAGAAAATATAGAATTGAAAAACCAGCGGGAATATTCAGTATAAAACATGGAAAACATATAGAATAGACAAACCTGCAGGAATATTTAGTTTTGTATAAAACATGGAGAAAATAAAGAATTGAAAAACCAGCGGGAATATTCAGTATAAAACATGGAGAAAATGTAGAATAGACAAACCTGCAGGAATATTTAGAATAAAACATGGAGAAACTATAGAATTGAAAAAACCAGCGGGAATATTCAGTATAAAACATGGAGAAAATATAGAATAGACAAACCTGCAGGAATGTTTAGTATAAAACATGGAGAAAATATAGAATAGACAAACCAGCAGGAATATTCATAATAAAACATGGAGAAAATATAGAATAGACATAACAGCAGGAATATTCAGTATAAAACATGGATGAAATATAGAATAGACAAACAGGGAGGAATATTCAGTATAAAACATGGACAAAATATAGAATAGACAAACCAGCAGAAATATTCAGTATAAAACATGGAAAAAATATAGAATAGACAAACCTGCAGGAATGTTTAGTATAAAACATGGAGAAAATATAGAATAGACAAACCAGCAGCAATATTCATAATAAAACAAGGACAAAATATAAAATAGACAAACCAGCAGAAATATTCAGTATAAAACATGGAGAAAATATAGAATAGACAAACCAGCAGGAATATTCATAATAAAACATGGAGAAAACATTGAATAGACAAACCAGCAGGAATATTCAATATAAAACATGGAAAAATAACAATTCAGAATGAAATGTAACAAGCTTTTACGCAGAGTCTTGCAAAATATTTCTAAAATGTACATTTCTCGGGCTAAACACATATATAAGTGAGTTGGACAGGTAAAAATTAAAGGCTAGCTAAGGCGTCATGGCACTTCAATGTTGACCAATTTATCTCATTATCCAATTAGAGATATGAACGCTTCAATCGGTGCTATCAGTAAATGGAAATATTTACTTCTACTGAAACTATATTGACCTAGTCTTAATATTTAAAAAAAATTTTAAGCACTCTTGATCTATGTGTATTGTGGATAAAAAAGAAGACAATTTTTTATACCAACGAGAACTTTAAAATATTTAAAAGTTTTAAAAAAGAAAATTAACTTTTGTACATTTTTTTCATTTTCGAACTTATTTTTCTCTAGATACGAAAAAAACATTAATTTAAAAATTAAATTATAAATGAAGAAACATTAAAGAAAAGCTTTTAAAGAATATTTGTTTAGAAAATACCGAACCAATATCGTTAGGAAACTATCATGGCAAAATCTGTTGTCCCCTGTTTTATCCTTAATTTTATGACAATTTGCAATTTTTTATGAAACATTGCAATTTTCAGATTGAGCACAAGAATATCTATTCAAATAAAGTGGTAATCTCTGTTTGTTTGTTTGTTCGATCATAAATCATCTCTTAAACTTTGATTAGAGAACTCATGGAAATGTTTTGGTTTAAACATTTCAAGTGGAGTAAATTGAATTTCATAGAGAAAGTTTATTTTCCAGATCAAGCTGGGTTTCCAAGCTTCTTTATGATAAGATGGTTTCGTTTTATTACATTGGGTGAGAAAAAGGATCAAGTTGGATACCGTTGATATTAATCAAAAACTATCTAATATTAATAATGGATAAAGAGTGAGAATAAACTTGTTAAAACAGCTACTTTACGCCTAGGTGTGATAATTAAGTTTATAACAATCATATCAGATCAAATCATTTAATATCTGATTTCTTTTATTACTCCCAGAGTTTCCGTTTTCTTGTATTAATTGTAAACAAGAAGTAGTTTAAATCTTGGATAAAATCTAAGTACATAATGTTTATAATGTTAAAACATTAACTTGGTTATAAAGCATTTAAATATGTTTGTATTAAGTTATAATTTTATTTTGCGAGCATGAATTTGCACATTTGACAACTTTTACTACCTTTAAAACGGGTTTAGAGCGTTGTTAAAATGTCAGATTTCTAGATAACCTTCTATCTATCTATCCGACTATTCAAGTCTCACGTAAGCATTTTATTATTGCAGTTTACAGGCTGTAAAATGTTGGCAGTTGAACCGGTTTGTAAACTAGTAAAACTGCAGTTTAAGGGTATGATGTTTGAAGGTGTATATATGTATGGATGGGTCCTATACCGGAGCCCAGTATTCAGGTCGTAAACCAGGATTCCCAGCTTTTATTGATCGTAACACAAACATAAAACAAAACAAGTCTCTGCACGCATCCAACGATGAACTCGCACATTTTCAGGTCGCAGTTTGGCAGATTTTATGATTTATTATTTTTCTGATTTGTTTGTGTTGTGGCATGTGTGTGTTTGCTTACCTGTATATTGCTGGTGGTTTGTAGCACTGCTGCCCGGGAAATGAGCTCAAGTATACAAGCGGAGAGCGCTGCACTGTCTTAACATTCACGCAGACTCCGATCCTGTCCCCTACCTTTCCCCTTACCCCCTTATACGTTTCCCTCATACAATAATACCCCCTTCCTCCCTTACAGCCCACAAATAGTTCACAAACGTTAAGGGACCGTAACAGAAATTTTAAGGTAGCTTATATTTAAAAAGAGAAATGGCAGATTCACTACGGTACCCTTTAAACATTTGAATGGTCATCGAAGACAAAGATCGGTTATCTCCTAAATGTTGTGAAAAATCCGTGAATTACGAGTGTAAGCTAGCGTACAATGTGAAATCGATGCCGCTGACGTCAGAGTTTATCCTGGAATATCTAGATCAATATTCTACACACAATGCGGTTTTCAAAAACTCGAATGAGAACATATGTATACTCTTATAAATACGTTTCTATAGATCAATTAGGAAAAGTCCGTCATCCTTGAACAGTCGCAGGTTTAAAGATACTCTTTCATAAATAAAAACCAGTTTTGTGAACAAAGTTAATTAGCACAAGCGGTTCAAGGATAAATAAGGAATAGCCATTAATCCTTGATCATTTATAGGTTTAAAGGGTACCGTTGTGAATCAGAGATTGCACTTACAGTCCCTTTAATAATACATGCGTAAACAGTTAACATGTATAAATAATACAGTATTCAGCTTAAAAAGTAATATATAATACAAGATTCAGTTTAAATTATCTGAAGGGCCTGGCGTTGCCCGTGGAATAAAAAAAATAGAAAAAAAATGTGAAAAAAAATGTTGAAAAAAATTTCAGCCCAATCGGTCCAGCCGTTTGGCCGGCTATAGGCAACATATATATATACGAATGTATTGTTTTATTATATAGATTACTTTATAAACTGAATTCTGTATGATGTATTTACTTTATAAACTGAATTCTGTATTTTGTATTTACTTTATAAACTGAATCCTGTATTATATTACTTTTAATATATATTACGGGATTCAGTTTATAAAGTAAATACATAATACTGGATGTAGTTGAGAGAGTAAATAAATAATACATGGATTCAGTTTATAAAGTAAATGCAAAATACAGAATTCAGTTGATACGAAAATATATAATACAGGATTAAGTTTATAAAGTAAATATATAATACAGGATTCAGTTTAAAAAGTAAATATATAATACAGGATTCAGTTTATAAAGTAATATATAATACAGGATTCAGTTTATAAAGTAAATATATAATACAAGATAAGATAAGATAAGATAAAGTTTATTGCTAAAATAAATGTATCTGTATACAGATAGAGTTTACAATTACAAATCGATGATTATATTAGCAGTACAAGTATAAAGCAACTAGAAATTCAAGGCGCTTCGCGCCATTCTTTCTAGCCTTAGAGGGCGCTTCGCGCTCATCTTCTAAATTAATTGTGTGCATGTTCTCTTTGTGTACATCGTAAAACAAAACAAAAATAATTCGCGGATTTTCACAAAAAAATTCGTGGATTTTCAAAATTTTCAAAAATTTAATGACGATCGAATTTTGATGGAGACAAATATTTAAAATTTAAATCATTCATAAACCTTCCCTGGGGTCCCTAGATTAGGTGGAAAATATCTCTTGGCTGTTTTGATTATTTTTTCCACCTAATTTTAGTAATAATAACAAAACATTTCAATTAAAAATACATGATTCAGTTTATAAAGTAATATATAATTCAGGATTCAGTTTATAAAATAAATATATAATACAGGATTCAGTTTATAAAGTAATATATAATTCAGGGTTTAGTTTATAAAATAAATATATAATACAGGATTCAGTTTATAAAGTAAATGCATAATACAGAATTCAGTTGCTAAAATAATATATAATACAGGATTCAGTTTATAAAGTAAATATATAAAACAGGATTCAGTTTATAAAGCAATTGCATAATACAGGATTTAGTTAATAGAATAAATAAATAATACAGGATTCAGTATATAAAGTAAATGCATAATACGGAATTCAGTTGATAAAATAATATATAATACAGGATTCAGTTTATAAAGTGAATATATAATACTGTATTCAGCTTATGGAAAAATACAGAAATACAGGATTCAGTTTATAAAGTAAATACATAAAACAGGATTCAGATTATAAATTTAAATAAATAATACAGGATTCAGATTTTAAGTTTTTTTTCAGGAAATTCTCGAAACTTTTTTTTTGCTGGTATTTTCAATATATTCTTTCCGCCACCAAATCTAACCAAACCCCATCGTTGTATTCACCCCCCCCCCCGCCCCTCCCCTTCCCTTCCATCCCTTGTCCTTCCCCCCGAAAGCTAGAGTTTCTACATTAGAAAGAGAGGACTAGTTGAAACGCCATTTCTTCTTTATATCGATTAAATACTAATTTTCCAAGTTGTACATTATTACAGTTTTTATATGCTCAGAAACTGATGGGGTGAACGGTTTACAATCAATCAATCAAGGAGGTTCTAAAGGTTTATCACAGCGGTCCAACTTGTTAATTAATCAAGGGGATTGAAACATTTATCACAGTGGTCCAGCTTGTGAATCAATCAAGAGGGTTATTAAGGTTTGTTACAGTGGTAACAGTGGTTTTGATACAAGTAAAGAATTCCATTTAGCCATTTCTGTAATTTACATATGGATTTCTTATTGGATTTTAAGATTTAAATAGACAGATAGATAGATAGATCTTGTCGCCTTTGCGATTATATTAGTCCTGAGTACTCACCAAGCAAGTGTGTGAATGGAATATTATCGAAGTTAAAGTGAAGGTATATTCAAGTGAAATTATGTACGTTGTAATTTTGTCCGTTACTATAGAGGTTGTGTTCCTTCAACATTTCTACCTTGCACGCCACTCTATGCAAGTTCCGTCGAAGATATCATCGGAATTTTACCAAATACACCTATCAACTTAATCTAGATTTAAGGGTTGGCATAGAATCTTTATATATCAAGAATTTAATAATAGCTAAATGATTTGGTTAGGTTAGGCCAAACCTAAGGTGCACGTAAACTGTCCAGGTAAAACCAACTACAGTTTCAGTAGAAATAAATCTTTCCATTTACTGATAGCACCGATTAAAGGATTCATAACTCTAATGGATAATGAGATAGATATATACTATTTCTATTGGTTCAGAATGGACAACAAAAAACAAGACTGAACCCTGATTGGATCAGGTGCTAATGGACCCAGCATAAAGGAGTGAACTATCTACAAGTTTATATAGCGATTTGCATCCTGTCTATTTCGAAATAATTTCAGTCATATGTTGATCTCTTAGTCAAAACCCGTCAAAAAAAGCGTGAGAGCTTTTGGGGCAAAACGTGTTTAAAAAAATCAGAAATCTTTTCCATTAATTAAGCTACAGGACTAAGACTTATATATTTTAAAGCCCTTGAATTAAAGAACATGTGTCATTTGTTACTATTTGTTAAAAGTAAATATAACTATTTTTGAAAAGTTTTTTGACTTTTTGAACTTTTTTATAATCCTTCCTGACCATTAAAGTTAGAGGTATAATTTTTTTTATGAGGAGGCATTGAAAAGTTGTACAAGGGACATGTATCACACTCCCTTTTCTCAACTCCAAGTGAAAAATCATAGGGGGGTGGAAACCCCTCCCCCCCCCCCATCTATATTAGACAAAAATTGGGCATCAGGATAGGATTAATATTTCTGTAAGAAATTATTAAGATGGTATAAAGCAGTGCAATGATGATATTTGACTATTTTCTTTACATGATTATAAACATAAAGATAAAGATTAGAAAGATTATAAAGATTTTAAAGATAAACAATCAAAAATCAAAAAGTTTTAGTTTACCTTAGTAAAAAAACCGGGACCTTTCATTATTTTGGGTCTACCCTGTACAGTTTACAGTGTACTATTACTGTGTTCACGATTAGAATATTGATGACGTTTAAACTCCAGGAGGTTGATTCATAAACCCTTCAAAATAATCATTAGTTTAATCTAATTATATTTAATTGAATCCAGGGGTTACCCTTCCTAACAATAGGTAATTTAAAGGGAGTGTATGCCAATTTTCGAAAGAGGTATAGAATAATAGAACAAGCATCTGGGACGAATTTAATTCAAATGTTTCTTTTAATTTGGAAAACATCTTTTGTGACTTTTTCATCTTAGAATACATTTTTCCCGGGGTCTGTCATAAGTCACGTACACACTTGAATGCCGATTCAATTAGCGCCTGATTCAATCAGTCATGTGTTTGTTGTCTATTCTGAACCAATAGAAATAGTATGGCGGTAACATCTATCTTTATATCTATCTCATTATTCAATCAGAGATATGAATCCTTCAATCGGCGCTATCAGTAAATGGAAATATTTACTTCTACTGAAACTATAGTGAAGTCATATACTTTAGAGATAAAAACTTGTAAACACGGCTCAAAATTTACATATTGGAAAAAAAACAGGTGTCACCTTTTTATGTCAAAAATATTTTTTAACATTTATTTTTTAATTTGAATTTTAAAACCTCTCTTAGCACTTCAATTATTTAAGTTAAAAATATGTTTTATAATCATCTAGTTCAATGTCATATAACATTTTAGTATAATTAGATGGTGCAACCGGGATAGGGATGAATTTATTTATTTAAGGCTACAAAATGAACTCCTTTCAATTTGCTTACATAACTCAAAAATATTGGGCTATGGCTGTTCTAATCTTCTCACTTTTCCGAAAAACTCAAAGCCTGGCTTTATATCTTAAACTACCATTGTCCTCAGGCATACTGCTTAAAAACTTTTTTACGTCAAACAAAAAATCTAATTTGACGCACTTCCGGTCAATGGATTTAAATATTTTTTTTTACTTTTTGGAAAGCCCGCCTCCGAGCTACAAGAGATCAGATTGCACAAGTGTGGCAAATAAATTTAGCACATATTGAACACACTTGTTAAACGTAATTTTGCACATTATCATATATTCTTGTTTTCACGCCAAGTTACTGACTAATTTCTAATTATTTTCATA